TATTTACAATATATTCTCACTTTATACTAACTGTCTTCTGATTGGCTAATAATTGTCAAGGTCATTTAAGATTCGTTCAAAGGTCGTCGCTAAATTAGAGTCTCGCCGTTCGCTTTATTGTCTTATATCAGTCAGTCATGATTAACATAGGACCTAGTACAAATATGCATTATCCTAAATTGACACATCATATCGGTACAGAGTGATAAGACTAACAAATTATTCGGAGTAATAGCACCGATATAGTAAAGCCACATAAAAAATATGGGTAATAAGCTTTTCTATATCCTTGTAGAGTTTCAATAAAATGGTTTTTACTATCATACCTGTTAGTGTCATGTCTTCGTGCTAATGTATTGTGGCAACTCGAGCTGACGAACATTTGTTCCGGACTCGATTGATTATGACTGACTAAATGTTAATCTCACACTCATTTCACTCTACCCTGAAGTAGCTGCCACCTTGACGTGGTGGTCGATCTTGACTGTCTTACTAGATGTAGAGAAGCCACAGCAATTAAACCCCTTAGAGCTAAACTTAATGGTGAAAAAGTTAAGAATATATTTTAGGAATAATTGAAGAATGAGCTAGTCAATCATGAAATTGATATTCGTCCCGAGGAATCTTGGTATGATAAACGAAAAGCTATGGGAACATCAGTGATATCTACCAGTAACTTAAACCAAAAGGTTGGGAGAAATCAGTGGACAACTGTTTAGACTCATCAAGGAAACGGGTATTAAAATACAGGTTGCTAGCGAAACCATCTCAAAGAAATGGGACTATCTTTCACTCTCAATCCAGGAAACTGAACTGATGGGCAGAACACTTTGGGAACAGTTCAGTCGGCCTTCAGCCACACATCACTTACCCACAATCTCCAAGCAACATGAATGGTAAACACTTAGTAAAGTTGAAAACGCTATAAGCAATCCAAAGCGAGGGAAAGCATCATGGTCTGATGGACTAACCCTTGAGGTTTTTAAGGATGGTGGTTCAGTTTCAGTAGTTAGATTAACTGGGATCTAAAGTAAAATTTAGGAACTGGACTTTATCTTGATCACTTATCGTCCCAGTTTATAAGAAAGGAAAAAATCACAGGAATTAGTTTATCTGATAGTATCTAAAGTATTAGCCTCACTGATACTTTGATGTCTAATTGGAGCTCATGAAGAGCAAACTCAAGAAAACAAGGCCGGTTTCAGACCATATATTCACCCTTCGGCAGATCCTGGAACATAGATACATTTATTGACGTTCGACTGTAGTTGTATTCTTTGACCTTAAGACAGCATTCGACTATGTCGATCGTGAGGTTTTATGGTAGTGTCTGTCATTGAAAGGTGTACCAAAGAAGTACATTAACCTTGTACAGGCTCTCTACTCGAATACTACTGATCAAGTCAAAGCTTATGACGAACTACCTTTGAAATTAGTTTCTTAAAGTGTTGTTCGTCAGGGTTGTCCATTCTCTCCACTTTTACTTGACTTTGTCATAGATATGGTTTTAGAGATAACACTCATCATCTGTATTTCCAAGGGTTGGCCTTCGACCAGGAGATTCACTTGTTAACTTAGAATACGTAGATGATATAGTTCTGTTTGATGAAGACACCAACAAAATACAAAGTCTTCTGACCATCTTAAGCAACAATGCAAACATGTTTGAGATTGGATTGTCTTTCTTTGATTACAAAATGCTACTTGAAGGTTGACTTGTGTCAGAGCCCGAATTAATGACAAGGAGTGAAGTATTTGAGTCTCATCAATACTGATGGTCTGGTGTCTGATGGAATCTCAGCACGCATCCAGAAGGCTTGAGTGGCTTTTGTCAACTGGCGTCACTTATGGCGTAAGCGAGATACTCGTCTTCCAACCAAAGGGCGAATTTACTGCTCAGTAGTTCACTCCGTTCTTTATGGGTGTAAAACATGGTCATTAAGAGTACAGGATATTCATTGGTAACTAGTATTCTATCATGGGTGTTTACGAAGCATTGATCATGTATTTCGGGACCACGGAGTAAACAATACCTGTGTTAGAGATAGAGTGCTAGATAAAGATGGTAAGTCGATTGATGAAGTAGTAAATCTTCAAATGAGGTGGTTGGAACACGTGTTAAGAATGCCTAACCACCATTCTCCTCTACGGGCGATGTTTTCTGGAGCAGGAGGAGGCTGAAAAAATAGAGCGGCAACCAAATCAAAACATGGCATCAGTCCATCAAGTCACTAACATTTAGACTTAGCCTTGTTAATGGGTACAAACTACCTGGTTGGGGTCCGCGTGATTATCGTAACCAGTGGTTAGAGACTTCGAATTACATGGATCAAAATCATTCGGAATGGCGCAGGTGCATCGATTCTTTGTCTTCCCTCAAATCCTGAGATTCTAAATTCCTCATATCAATTTTTTTGTTTTTATTTTGCTAGTTTATATTTTCTTTTAGGGTCGTATTCTGTCTGCGTCTTACTCGACGTAGGAAAGACACTGCAAGGAAACCTCTTAGGGTCCTACTTAATGATAGCCAAGCTAAGAATATATTTCAGGAACAACTAGTAAAAGTTGTGCAGCCATATAAGTGATGCTCACCCCGATGCAGCGTGGGATGGTATCAGAAAAGCTATGGAAACAGCAGTGATGTCTGCTAGTAAGGTACACTGGATCTCATCAGCATCTATCGCACTGATAGATGCTCGGAAACTCATTCCACCTGGCTCTGAACATAATGAAGAGCGGAGTCAACTTAAACGCAAGCTGACAAGAAGTCTACGCAATGATCGTGAACAGTGGTGGGTAGCGAAAGCAAGAGAGATGAAAAAGGCAGCGGCAATAGGTAATAGCAGACAATTGTTCAGACTTGTTAAGGAAACCGATATTAGGAACCCGACTGTTAGCGAAACACTCTCAGAGAAAGATGGACATATTATACATTCTCAATCCAGGAGATTGGACCGATGGGCAGAACACTTTAGGAATCAGTTCAACTGGCCTTCAGCCACACCTCGGTTTTCCACGATCTCTAGTCAACCTGAATGGCAAGTTAATGTAGGTCCTCCGTCTCTTTACGAAGTTGAAAAAGCCATAGGAAATCTGAAACGAGGGAGAGCAGCAGGCCCTGACAGGTTTACTCCTGAGATTTTTACGGATAGTGGTTCAGTATTAGCAGTGAGATTAACTGAGGTCTTAGGTAGAATTTGGGAACTGGACGTAATCCCATCTGACTGTTCTCAATCACTGATTGTGCCAGTCTATAAGAAAGGACAAAAGTCCTCTTGTGACAATCACAGAGGAATCAGTTTGACTAGTATAGTGTCTAAAATATTAACTTCAATAATACTTCGACGCCTAACTAAAGCTCGTGAAGAGCAGACTAGAGAAAGCCAGGCTGATTTTCGACCTGGACGTGGTTGTATAGACCAGATATTCACACTACGTCAGGTTCTAGAACATAGACACACATTCAGATGCCCTACAATCGTAATATTTCTTCTGATCACTATAAGCAACAATGCAAGCATGTTCGGGATGCGATTCTCACCCTCGAAATGTAAAATGTTGCTTCAGGATTGGGTTGCATCGACACCCGAACTAATAATAGGGAGTGAAGTAATTGAGTGTGTCGATCGCTTCACTTATCTTGAAAGTCTCATCAGCCCTTGTGGTCTGGTGTGTGACGAAATCTCAGCACGGATACAGAAGGCTCGACTAGCTTTTACCAACTTGTGTCATTTATGGCGTAGGCGAGATATCCGTCTATCAACCAAAGGACGGGTTTACTGCGCAGCAGTTCGTCCCTTCCCACTTTATGGCAGTGAAACATGGCCGGTAAGAGTAGAGGATATTCGTAGGTTACTAGTGTTTGATCATAGGTGTCTTTAAAACATTGCTCGTATATCCTGGGACCACCAAGTAAGTAATACAGTTGTTAGGAAACGGGTACTAGGTAAGGATGGCAAATCAATTGATGAAGTAGTGAAATTTCATCAATTGAGATGGCTGGGACACGTGTTACGTATGCCCAACCATCGAATGCCCTGACGTGCGATGGTTTCTGGTGTAGGAGTAGGTTGGAAGAAAGCTAGGGGCGGCCAGACCAAAACGTGGCACAAATCCATGAAATCACTGACAAGTGGACTGAGCCATGTTGGTAGGTGTAGACTACCTGGTTGGGGACCGCGAGATGATAGCAACCGATGGTTAGAGACCCTGGATGGCGCAGGTGCATCCACTCTCTATGTTCTCCCAAATTCTAATCTTCTGAATTCTTCATGTCCCTTTTTTCCTCTTTCCAAATTTATTTCACTGGATTATACTCTTTAAATAACATCTCCAAACCCTAATCTTTCCGATTACTGCTTATACTCTTACCACTTCCACCACTATGGGATTTGAATCGATAACTGCATCTCTGTGCAAATGTGGTATGGCAACTCGAACTGGTGTACGTACGTACGAAGTTCTACGTTGCTGGTGACTGACTGACTGACGTATCTTCGATGCCTATTCTTTCCCATTACCTCTGATATTGTTATTACTCCTATTATTCTGGGATTTAGCCCGACAACATCTATCTGTGCTAATGGAGTATGGTGACTTGGACCGATGTAAATAAGTACACGTTCTGCGTTGTGACTGACTGCCTTTAGGTTTTTCAAATTGCGAAATTTCATTTAGGATTGCACTTTGTCGTAAATAGTTCATTTTTATAATCTTTATGACTAAAATGTATTTACATTTATTCTTCATTCCACTAATCGTCTCAAAGTTAAATTTATGTTAAGCTAATATTTCACGCAGTAATTTTATTAAATGTAGGTGATATAGCAATAAATAGATTGAATGATACCAGTTCATTCACTATACTGTATCGATCATACCGTGGTTAGGGAGATCATTTTTTAATGAGTAGCATTATCTTTGCTATTATGGGCTTTTGTATTCAATTTCATTCACCCTCATTTCAAACAAATTCCTATTTTAGGAAGTGTAAAACCAGTATGCCAGTTTCGTGTTGCAGATGTCAGTCAAAGGGTTATATTAAACGCCCGAAAACCGTATATGTCTTTTGAATTATTTTTCAACTTCACTTATATAGAGTGATATTATGTGTAAAGAATGCTTTTCTTGGTGTTTCGAAGAAGAAATACATTGGACAATTGTAAATGCCAAGCTTATTAGTCGTGGTGATAAAATTGCTATTGGTGCCTCTGGTGGTAAAGGTAAAGATAATCATAGATTTCCTTTTATTAATCGATGAAGAAATAGAGATATTTAAGCTAAAAAATTTCTCAGTTGAAATCACGAGTTGATCTAAACTAGGCCAACATCAGAAACTTAAAAGCACTAGGCGGCCGTTTCGTCTTATCATGGGGCTCCTCACCGGTGCGCACCCACGATCCCTCATGCGTGACTCGAGCTCAGAACTTGCGGTTTTGCGCATGAACGCCTAACTTATGGATATTTTCGTTGGCCTAAGCTGTACGGTTGCATTGTATTTTTTATTGTATTGTTTACTAAAAATAGTAGTAATATGTGGTAAAATAGAATGATGTTGAATAAATTTTAAGAAAATGATTTAGCATCTTTTTATAAGTTCACGAAAATCTCATATTGATAGGAAGGTGTGCAATGATCCAACTGTTAATAGAAAATATCAAGGTGAAGATAATTGTCTACTTGATAAATATTAAGAATAGAACAATTGACTGTTGTAGTGATAGCTGATTATTAGTTTCTAAAAATAATTAGGTGTAGAAAAATAAAGCAAAGGAAGTCTATATAAATGTATATATTTTTGTATTTTTAGATTCTACCGTATTAGCTTACATACTAAACTTATTAAATAAAAGATATGATTATGGAGCGGAATTGCTTCTTTTATCTATTGATGAAGGTATAAGTGGATATAGAGATGACTCATTAATGGTAAGGTTTGTTTTATTTTTAGTTAAGATATTTGCAATATAATGATTTTTTAGACTGTTCAGCGAAATCAGATCCAATATGGACTTCCGTTAAAAATTCTTTCTTATCAGGTAAATTCTCTCCTTCACAGTCTAAACGATTTTTAGGATTTGTATGGATGGTCAATGGATGATATTGTGAAGCATATTGGGAATAAACGAAATTGTAGTTGATGCACTAGTGTTTTTGTTTATTGAAAAAATTTGGTAGGTACTTACTGTGGGATATTTCGCCGCCAGGCTTTGGACAAAGGTGCACTACTTCTTGGAGCTAACAAAATATGTACTGGTCATAACGCTGATGATATTGCAGAGACAGTGTTAATGAATAGTAAGTTACAACTGCTCGGTTTAAATATGTGTTTTGGTTTGCTGAGAGTTTTATATGCTTTTTATGGGATTTTATGTGCTGAATTGAAACAGAAACAGTTTTCTCATTTTCCCTTTTTTGCTTACAGTTCTACGAGGTGATATTGGTCGATTAAAACGATGTACAGCTATAATGACAGTAAGTAATGGAAAAACTAGGAGTTTTCAAGTTAATTTTACTCATACAAATATATTTAGGGTACAGATGATATACTTCCTCGTTTTAAACCTTTTAAATATGCTTACGAAAAGGAGATTGTCATGTATGCACATATGCATAAATTGGATTATTTTTCAACTGAATGTAAATACGCACCACAAGCTTATCGGTAAGTAGTGGTATTTTATCGTGTTTTTTATTATTTAGAGGCCATGTAAGAGCGTTTATCAAGGATTTGGAGAGAATACGACCTAGGACTATCATAGGTGGGTTGCTTTCTGTTAGAGTGGAATTCACCTTATTTGATTTAGATATTATAGCATCCGGTGAACGTATGGCTATTCGAAGTGATGTAAAGATGCCTCAGAAAAGTATGTCTTCACTTTCAAATAAAAACATTGTACTCATTCTATTACTGTATGCAAATCAAATGCGTGTCAGCTTTTTATCATCAGTTCAGCACTAACATAACCTGTGCTACTCCTATTTCGATTGTCACAGCCTTGTAGTATCTGTAATCCGTCCATAATAAATGTCACTCGTAGTTTACTAAACTAAACCATACGCGGTTATTGAGTTGCTATTCATTATGTGTCTAAAATACATATTTTAGATACCAACTCTTGAGCTTCAGTATGGGCGTTTAGTGTACGAGATTTACTATGACCAGAAAAAAAAACCCAACTAATGTCACGCAATCGGATTATTTATAGTATAGTGAATTGGGTATGTTATATCCGAGTGGAGATTAAATTACAGGTAACTCCCGAGGACTATTAATGAACTAATATTCTATAAATATTCTTATTATATAATTATTCAACAATTACATTACGTATATTTATATTCCTCTTATGACAAGCTTTATTTTGGCCTATAATTTATTATTATACGATTTACGGTTCTTAATCTATGCTCAGTCTATTATTCACTGTCCCCCTCATTCACAGCCACTTTTTGGCTTATTTGTGTACAAATATTATTTCCTATTTTATGGTACGTTGCGGTCTGTGTGATTGATATATAAACCAAGTATGCCTGAAATAAACGATCTGGTCTGATCTGCTCTGATTCGGAAGCTGGTATTGTGTTCTGGACTCAAGTGGAAGGGCTCGTAGGGCATAGGACCAATAAGGACGCTAAACTGCCCACACCGGTTGAACGTCATTGGTTGGCCTAGTGTGAAGATACGTATAAGTCGTATTCGGATTGGTAGATAAAACGCGTGATCGAAAAGTCAGACATCCAAGGTCATAACAATTGGCGACGGGGTGGAGAAAAGTTTTGAACCCTCAACTTCAAGGTCATAACAGGGTATAGATGATTTGTTGCGTTGATCCCAACATTTATAGTTAGTTATGCGTTATATTTTTTTAACGATTGCCAGTTTGATCAATTCTTATCTAGTATCCGTACTGACCATAATTAACAACATCTTAATATGAAATAACTTATCGAATGGTATTATGAATATTTTATTACTTTTTATCTATTTCGCATATTCTGATAAGTTACTTTATTCCTTTTTAGTTTTCTAAATTTGATGATTTGTGCTTAACTAATTTTGTTTTAGACAGTTAAAACTTAGTTTTTTTATTTCAAGCCTAGTCTTAATATTTTACTATTTATTTTTCCCACTAACCTATTTAATTTTAAAGCTAAGTTTAAGTGAGAATGCTAAAGAAAAACAATATTCTGTTTATGATAATGCAAAAATATTTGGTACATGTTTCTTACGATTGATATCCAAAATTCTACTTCGGTTTTAATCTATGTTGATATCTAGTTTGACAATAAGGAGTGAATTATTTGAACACATAGATAATTTCAATCACCACTTTTGGTGGCTTGATGTCAGGCAAAATCTTTGTACATGAGTACAAAGGTCTTGTTTGACTTCTACTAACTAATGCTGTTTATAGTTCGGGTTAGATGTCTTTTTCTTTATCACCTGATAAGTATGCTGTGCGTCTAGATCACACTTTATTGGGTACATGTTCTTTTCATTTTATATGACTTACACAAATCTCTGCAAATCAGCTAATTAAAAATTTGTTTATTTTGGTTTCTTTCGTGTTTAGGTACTTGTGAAAAGTGTGGATGCATTTCAAGTCAGCTTATATGTCAGGCATGCATTCTCCTAGAACAGCTTAATTCCGGTTTACCACAGATAACCATAAAAGATACCGAACAGCGTTCTCAAATTGACTAGTCGGGCGATACCAATTTTTCTAAAGATTTTATATTATATATCAGATATTGTAAATATATTCCTATTTGGATAGTGGTTCTTATAAGTGGAAATTCTTACTTTAAGAGTGTCAAATTGGTGTTGTATGTTTTGAATTTTTCATGTATAAAGTAATGGGAGTAAATACTGTTCTTGTAAGTATTCTTTAACAAATTGATTGTTCTTTCACTTTTGTTACTATCATATGAATAGAAAGATAGACAACATAGGAGTTGACCCATAGGTGTATTGATTCCTTTCAGTACATCTCAAACCTGCACAACGATTAGAAACTAACTAACAAGATTGAACATATTGGGTAAAAGCACCAATAACAGTGAAAACCTGAAATTAAAAAGTCTGAAGAATGAATAAAATGTGTGGAATGCTACGCTTTTCAACTTTAAAGGAATAGAAGCAATGAATGCATTCACATTACTATGTTCGGTTTTCAGCCGTATCTCTAATGACGAAAATTATTAGTTTTAAAATGTAGTAAGTACCGGTTGATCAAAAGTAGGTCATATTTACTACAAAATAGATCTTAGTAAAAATCAATAAAGATTAGTGCTAATTAGATCAATTTTGAAGTCAATTCTATCACCATTAAAGTTAGTAAACGATCGTACGAGTACAAGTAAGTACCTTGATATTTCCTCCACACGTATTTCTGGCTTCAACTCTGAAAGATTCGACAGTTTCGGATTCGTTTTCACATAGTATTACTATTAAGTATTCCAAACAGTTTTGTTATAACAAATCATCTTGAGATAGTTCTCGTCATCAGTTAACTTATATTTGAGAACCATTCGAAAAAAGACAAACCGGCTGTTCACTAGTGTTACGGCTGAGAACCGTTCGTGAGCAACTATCTATTAATTAAACGTATTGCTATAGCTCAACAACTAGATACTGAGCCTATTATGTGTCTTTGTCTAAGTTTTTGGCACTCAATTCTTAAATATGAGTTACTGAAAAATTACAAGGTAGACTTGTGGTATTTCAAAGGATTAATGAATCTACGCGTAGGTGGAATTTTTAGTTATATGAATTTCAATTGGCAAGGGAAAGATCGATCCAGAAGTAGGCAGATAATTCCACAATTATGAAATTGAAACAAAAACGAAGTGTACATATGTTAGCAAGCTATCTGAGCTATAAATGTAACATAAAGGGTATATGTACGAACGTAAAAAATAACGTGAATAGGTTTTCTTTATTCAGACAGGTGAGAGGGATAGGATTTTTAAAGTAATTATGTCACTAAAAATAGTACAAAGGGAGATTTGTACTTGAATTAACGTGTTTTGAACACCCAGTTTTCTCTCTGTAACATTTATGAAGTTACTTCGGCATTTTGAAATATGTGGATAATATATAATAACAAACTAAGCGTCTCGTGATTATCGTATTTACTATATGATTTTCAACATAAAATTGTTCTTAAAATACAGATCAACTTTATCTTGTTGTTTCATTTAACTCGAATTCACTGATATACTTGTTGATTGAGGTACTACGGTGCCAAATAATTCATTTAAGGAACGCTAAGTCTCGGATCTAACGAAGTAGTACATGTACTGAATTGCAAAAACGGTTTGATATTCAATATCTCCAGCTGTATTCTTTTAGACACAAATTTCCAAAAGTAGGAATAGGTTGGAAAACCTGTGATTTACAATCAGTATATTCCCACCCGGATCTTGGTTTCACTAAAAGGGCTCAAATTGGTGAACATGTGAAATAAAAAGTTGCTACAGAAAGTCTGTGTGTAACCAGTTCCAATCACAATTACTTTATGCTTTGAGATTAGGATTCTGGGCTATTAGGACATTCATTATAAATCCCGTTAAATGTGCGTCCTCATGAAGAAGTACTCTTCCTAAGACTTGGGTCCAACTGATTTCGTCATTCCTTTTGTCTCAAAGTATTTCTCATATATTTTCCAACGTGTCATTTGACCAAATTTTCCGACCCCAAAAATTAAACATGGGAAGCTTATTCTCTTTGAGAAATGGAATAATACAATTAAAATAAATGTGTTTTCCCCTTAATGTAGTTTTTCAGTATGTCTATCATCATAACATTGTAACTTCTCCACTTAACAACACGTCCAGAATACAATCAAAATGTCACACTGAACGAAGTTTGCACCCGTTACCCTGGCCGAAACTCATGATGAATTGATACCAAAGATATTGACCTAAATAATGTCATTTTCTTATCACATCATATCACTGCTTATTAATAAAAAAAGGGAAAATACGTTCGTGTTTTGGTAAAAAGTAAACAAGAGAGAATTTCTGCCAGATGTGTCAGTTATTATTGAAAAGTAGTTGTGATCAGCACAACAAACAATGGTCATTATTTATCTGAATAGAACCTGAGTTCCGAGTGCATTTCATTATTGATTAAAACCAGTCCTAGAATCATTATAAACTATGGTACTCTGGACACCTGTTAATTCTAGCTTATCATTTCTATTTGTGCTTACCTAATAACTAGCTTTAAACCAACTAGCAAAAATGACACGTTCACACACCCAAATACAAATCTAATAATTTACATGTTCAGCTAAAGTCAATCAGAGATATATTTAACCATCTCTTGATTTAAATGGAGTTTTTTTCTCTGAGCTAAATAGTTTGGTCATGGAGCTTTAGATAGAAGTTTGTACCGATGATGTTGTTCAGAATAGTGAAAGCTTTGCGACCAAACCATCCAGCTTACAGAACAAAACTCCACCTCATTCATCTACACGAGCTACAAGACCTTTCCACAATCTCAGCTGCAAGTAACAATAATTACAGATGTTCAGTGAAGGTAAGTGTGTTAAACGATTTGAAGATCCGATTAGCCTTTCCTAAAATTGTAAAGCAGGTGACCTTGCTGAGAAAGGTTCTTTTGCACTCACATTTGTCAAGATACATATTTTAGCCAATTTTTAAGATTGTTCACACCACAATAAACTTATGCAGCGTGTACTGAACAAGAGTACTTTTTCCAGTTTACATGAACAGGATTCCATAAGTATATAGTGTAAAGGAAAATATCAATCAAACCAAAATTAAAATATTTGATCTAAAAGCCCATTTTTCGGTGCTTCTTGGACGGTAAAATGTTAGTTAAGCTGACATGCTTAATTCTCCTTACTACTCAAATGGAAATATAACGTTCGTGTAAGTCTAACTATTATTATCGTAAACAGTATAAAAGTTGATCACGAGTAGTAGTAGTAGTCGATATAGATGAATATTTCACTTAAGATAAACAAATGGAACAATTTTAACGCCTCATTTATTTGGGTGTTGTATTCGATGCCTTATTTCCTCCAAAAAATAATTTTTTTCTTTCTTCGTTAAAAATAAACGCACACATATACACACACAGGATAAATCAATAAATGGGCGAGATCATTTTTAAGGTCATTTATGATAATATTATCTACAATAGTCTGGACGAGGATAATTTTTGTTGTTGTTGTTGTACAGAATTGGATTATATTTCGAATTTTGGGCGATTTCATTTAGTATTTAATAAAATAATTGATAGGGTTTATTTCAGTTCAACATAAACTGAGAAATTTTGAAGAACCAAGAATCGTTAATCGGTTGTTTTATTTCTAAGTTTCTATTCAGTGTTGAATCTATATCTTTCTATGTGGTCTATCGTGAGTGAAGAATTGTGATTTTTTGATGTAGTAGCTTTCAATGCTTAGTTTATCTTATTAGTTTTTGTCATAGACTGATATTATATGTAAAGATTTACTCACAGACAGTACTATATATGGACGACTGAATACTGGGTCGGTGTTCTTGGATCTAATGAAAACTAACAATAAATTTTAAAAAAAATTCCACAAACATCCATATTTAACATAAATTATTTGTTTAAAAATCTGGAATGTTCTTACTGATCCTTCTATATTACTGATTCATTGATTTTTAGCTTACACATTAATACAATTTTATCAACATTAAAATTGCCAAAAAAGATGAATAAGTTTGAAATAAAGATTTTGAAAAAAATTCATGGTTCGTTCATTGAGGTGAACATACAACATACTAATAATAACTAATAGTATTGCATGTTTAGTACAATATTGTAGTCGCATGAATTTTTCTTAGTTGTTTTCAATATGATACGGTTTAGATCTCTATAACAAATGCAATAAACTAGTTTCCAATGTCAACATAATGACACAGTATTAATAATAATTGTTATAACTTGTTCCCTGTGCCTCTAACAATATATAACGTAATAATGCCGCCAATTAGAGAACAGTGAATTATCAACCCGACCAATGACGCATAAAACCCATACGAGCAGTCTATAACAATAATAATAATAATAGTAATAAACTTTGTACGACGATTCACCATCTTGCGAAGTTCTCTGTAATTCATGACTGAATGATTGATCATAGTGATTTTGATAATAAGTTTACAATTTACAAAGAAACTATTGAGTTTTAGTTTGAATATATTTTTTATGGCTTAGAAGCTATTCAAACAATGTAATATTCTGATTCCAACTTGCATTCTATTCAATAATTTCATTGACTATAAATATGAATATCTATATGGTGTATATATTTAATTACGTTATAACTATAGTTAAAACTATTCGGTTTAAGTTGTCAAAAGAGAATTCAAATCTGTAGTTCAACACTTACAACTGAATGAAATACCTATTATGTATGGATTTTCCAAAAAAAGGGTTTTTTATCTCGTTCGAAATTATCCCAATTATGCTTTAAAATGTATTTATTTATTTGAACACATAAGTATTGGTACAAGGGGGCAACAGATATATATTCGTATTCGGTGGTAGCATTCAATTTTCAACCAGACAGTGACTTGGGATCGTTTAGATAGAAAAAAATTTTCACCATAAGGTGAGAATGGAAGAGGGTGGATAAGTGACGTAGTACAAAAAAATAAATGTGAATGTTTTCAAATGGGTGTGGGTTATTTGAATTT